CCCCCCTCAGTCGATGCCTCAGCTGCGACAGCAGCAGCGCCGCCTCCGTTCAGTCAAAAGTAGCAGATCTACTTCTCAGGGTACTTGTGCTGCTGCTGCTGCTGCTGCTGCTGCTTCTGCTGCTGCTGCTGTTGCTGCTGCTGCTGCTGCTGCTGTTGCTGCTGCTGGTGCTGCTGCAGCTGTTGTTGTTGCTGCTGCCGTTGTTGTTGTTGTTACTTCTGTTGATGCTGTTTTTGCTGTTGCTGCTGCAGTTGTTGTTGTTGCTGCTGCAGCTGTTCTTGCTGCTGCTGGTGTTGTTGCTGCTGCTGCTGCTGCGCTAAAGGCGAAAAAGTGTGTGTTTTAAGCATCCTGCTGCAGCGCTCCTGCTGCTGCTGCTGCTTCTGCTGCTGCTGCTGCTTCTGCTGCTGCTGCATTTTATCTGTTTCAGTTCTTACTTTGTGTCGAATTACACTTCTCACTCTTATTATTATTGCTGCTGCTGCTGCTGCTGCTGCTGCTGTCGCTGCTGCTGCTGCTGCTGCTGCTGTCGCTGCTGCTGCTGCTGCTGCTGTTGTATGCAGGCCTCTTCTGGTGGTGGTTCTGCTTCTCCTGTGTCTTTGTATGGCCCTGATTTGCTGCTGCAGCAGCTGCATGCGTTGCTGCTGTGTTTGTTTAATATGGGGGCGCTGCAGCAGCTGGCGGTGCCTTGTCTGGAGGCCCTAGAGCAGCACATCAGCAGCAACATATGCACTTCCTTTCTACCTTATCTCAACCATGCTGCTGCTGCTGCTGCTGCTGCTGCTGCAGCAGCAGCAGCAGCAGCAGCAGCAAGACAGGAGGAAGCAGGAACTGCGGACTTTGCTGCAGCAGAAACCATCAGCAGCGACTCGGATGAGAGCCCAGAGAGAAAAGAGCAGCAGCAGCAGCAGCAGCAGCAGCAACAGCAGCAGCAGCAACAGCAGCAGCAGCAGCAGCAGCAGCAGCAAGACGAGGAGCAGCAGCAGCAAGATGAGGAGCAGCAGCAGCAAGAACTGACTGCACGCGACAGACAAAGAACACGAACATATTCAGCTCTTGAGTTTGATGAAGATGCTGCAGCAGCAGAAACTCCTGCTGCTGCTGCTGCTGCTGCTGCTGCAGCAGCAGCAGCAACTCCTGCTGCAGCAGCAGAAGCAGCAGCAAACACTTCGCGGTACTCAAGCTTTATAGACAGTCCCCACAGCAGCCGCAGCGACTTCTCTCCAGCAGCAGCAGCAGCAGCAGCAGCAGGAGCAGCAGCAGCAGCAGCAGCAGGAGCAGCAGCAGCAGCAGCAGCAACAAGTTCTCCTATGTATCAGCGTGTTGCTGCTCCCCTATTCCGCCCCCCTTTACCTTCATCATGTATTGCTGCAGCTAACTACTGCAGCAGCAGCAGCAGCAGCAGCAGCAGCAGCAGCAGCAGCAGCAGCAATGGTATTTTTTCTTATGGCTTGCATGCGAATAGTATAGGGTGTTTATTACATCACCAGAACGAGCAGCAGCAGCAGCAGCAGCTGCTGCTGCAGCAGCAGCAATACTATACACCGCTGCTGCTCGTAGCAGCATATAAACGCCTAGACAAAGTATATAAACTATCTCACCGTGTATATACACCCCCTTCTATAGATGAATGCAGAAACATACTCAATCTAGCACAGGTAACCAACGGCTCCTGCTGCTGCTGCTGCTGCTGCTGCGGCTGCTGCTGCTGCTGCTGCGGCGGCGGCGGCGGCGGCGGCAGCTATTGGTGTTGCTGCTGCTGCTGCTGCGGCGGCTGTGGCTATTGGTGTTGCTGCTCCTGCTGCTGCTGCGGCCATTGGTGTTGCTGCTCCTGCTGCTGCTGTTGTTATTGGTGTTGCTGCTTTTGCTGCTGCTGTTGATGATACTGTTGTTCGGGGTGTTGCTGCTGCCGGTTGTGGTGGTGATGGTGTTGCTGCAGCTATTGCTGCTGCTGCTGCTGCTGCTGCTGCTTCTGGTAGATGATTGTTACTTGAATTATATTCCTCTTCTGCTGCTGCTGCTGCTGCTGCTGCTGCTCTTGCTCCTGCTGCTGCTGCTGCTGCTTCTGTGCTGCTACCATTTTTTCTGCTACGGCTCTCGCTCTTTCTCCTGCTGCTGCTGCTGCTGCTGCTGCTGTTGCTGCTGCTGT